ATATATGTGCTTTTAGTAATTGTCGTGTGTGTGTGTGTGTGTGTGTGTGTGTGAGCAAATGTCTGCTATGCCCAGGGGCCAGGACCTCTCCCTGGGGCCATGGTATTCCCCCTGCCTCATTCCTTTAAGATTTTTGCCAGTGCCCTGCCCAGTTTGGCTCAGCAGTTACAGTGTTGGTCCATGGACTGAAGGGTTCGATTCTCGGTCAAGGGCATGTACCTGAGTTGCAGATTCCATTCCAGCTGGGTCAGGATTGTGTGGGAGGCAAACAATTGATGTCTGTCTCTCTCCCCCCCTCCCTCCCTTCAACTTAATCTAAAAATCAATGGAAAATATCCTCAGGTGAGGATTAACATAACAAAACAAAAAGATTTTTGGCAGTGACTCATGATACAACATGGATGAACCTTGAAAACATTATGGTAAGTGAAAGAAGCCAGGCACAAAAGACCACATATTTATATAATCTATTTATATGAAATGTCCAGAATAGGCAAATCTACTGACTCAGAAAGTAGATTAATAGTTGTCAGGAGTTGGAGGGGGTTGATAAAAAAATATATTAAAAGCTGTTGATTTGTATGCTTTAAGTGAATGGATCGTATGGTATGTGAATTCTTTTTTTGTTTGTTTTTATCCTCACCCAAGGACATTTTTCGACATTTTGTTTAGATAGAGTGGGAGGGAGAGAGAGAGAGAGAGAGACATCGATGTGAAAGGGACACATCGATGTGGCTACCACCCACACGACCCATCCAGGGCCGGGGACAAACTACAACCAAGGTACATGCCCTTAGTGGAACCGAACCCGGGTCTCTCAGGACCGCAGGCCGACGCTCTAACCGCAAAGCCAAACCGGCCAGGGCAGTATGTGAATTCTATCTCAAAAAAGCTTCTTAAAAAAAGATGCTTGTGTAATAAGACACAGCGAGTTAGCTGGAGAGACTGTATATGTGACATGACTATACTGAGGTGGGGCAGGTCTTGGGGACTCGCTATGCAGGAATGACTGATACAGAATTCTGACTCAGTTTAGACAGGCAAAGGTTAACTCAGTCCTCAGGATTTTTACAGTCTTCTTTCTTTACACATTTATTTTCTGATTCCTAGTCCAATCCATAAACATCTTTGTCACTAGTAAGAACATGACTCCTTCTATCTAGTGTCCAGGGCAACCTTTCAAGGTTATCTGAGCTCTTTTTAACCTCGTCCCTGGAATCTGTTTACTTGACATTTGATTTGCTTTCTAGACTAATGGCCCAAGGTAAAAATCCTATGAAAGAAACTTTGCTCGCCTTTACTTTTTCCTTCTTTTTTAGATTTCCCTGAACTCAAGTTCCTTCCCATCCTTTTAGACCAAAAGCTGTTCGAGCACGTTCTTTCCTGTCATCTCCAAAGACTCCCCTCAATTGCAGACCCTGCAACATAGCCGGCATTCGGGGTGTGCTCACGTTTCCCCTCATACCCACATGTATACACAATCAATAACCATGTACATATTTCCTTTTTGGATAATTCTAACATTTTTTTAATATAAAAGAAACACTGGTTCATAGTAAAAAAACAAACAGAAAATATAGGCCATCAAGAGGTAATAATCTCCTGGAGTCCTCCCATCAAGTAATCACTCTTAATAGATTGGCATACACTTTCTTTATTATATTTTTAAGTGTAAATTTTGACACTTATCAAAGAATATATTTAACATTTATTACATCTATGTTATAAACCTTAATGATATATTGAACACCACTGAGCCCACCACCCAAATCCAAAATGGATAATTACTATACAGATGCCTCCACTGGCCCATGCCACCCCCCCCCCCCAAACCAGAGATAACCTCTGTTCAGAATTCTGCGTTTATCATTCTCCTTTCATTTAAAATCATATTTTATTACACTGTGCAATGCTTATACAGTATATTATTTAGTTTTGTTTATTTTTAAGCTTAAATCTAAAAAATTTTACTGTGTATAGCCCTCTGGGATTGCCTTTTTCTAACGTTTCTGACATTCGTCCTTACTGTTGACTGAGCTGTAGTTTACTTATTTCATTGTTATATAATTTTCCATTCTGTGGTCAAACCACTATTTGTTCTTCTGCCTTTGGACATTGGTCTGCCTTTCTTTTTTTCCTTCTTTCTACTGTGAACATTCTTGCTTGTCTTCTGGTGCACATGTACAAGTTTCTCTACCTAGAAGTAGAATTATTGACTCACAGAGCATGTGAATGTTAATTTGTACAATGTAATGACAAATTACTTTCCAAAATAATTATATAAATTTACACTCGCCACAGCAACGTAAAGTAATTTCTTTGGATTTATATTCTCTCCAATACTCCAATACTTATTGTCATATTTCTTTTGTTTTACAATATAGTGGGTATAAAATGGTATCTTGTTATTGTCTTAATTTGCATTTCCTTAATTACTAATGAGATCATACATCTTTTTTTACATTTATTGACTATATTTCCTTTTTAAAAATCTTTGCCCAAGAATATTTTTTATTAATTTTTCTTTTTAGCTAGAATGGAAGGAAGGGAGGAAGAGAGAGAGAGAGAGAGAGACAGAGAAACATCAATATGAAAGAGACACATTGATTACTTGCCAGGTACGACTGTGCCTTTGACTGGGAATCGAGCACAAGATCATTGGTCCATGGGCTGACACTCCGAACCATTGAGCTAAACCAGCCAGGCCATATTTCTTTCCTCTTTAATAGAATTCAGATCAGATGTTTAACCTTTTTTTAAATTTTATTTTATTGGATTGCTTTTCTATTATGGCTTTGTAAGAATCAATATTTTGATTATATATTACAGATAATAAACATTTGTCCTTTATCTGTGTCACAGATATGTTCTTCCCATTTGTAATTTGCCTTTAACTTTATTTTGGAGGTCTTTTAATAAACAACAATTCTTAATTTTAATGTATCTTAACTTATCAATATTTTCATTTTTTGTTTAGCACTTTTCAGATCTTTAATCAGTTTTTTTCCTACTCTAAGGCCCAAAACAACATTCTCCTATATTTTCTCCTAAACCTTTTTATTTTTACATTTAGTTTTTTGTCCATCTAGAATGGGTATCGGTGTCTGATATGAGGTAGGAAATCTAATGTTTCATTTTCCCTATATGGACATCAGCAGTACCAGCTTCTTTTCTCCTCTGACATGTATCACTGTTTCATATTTGTGTGGGTGTGTTTCTTGGCTCTCTATTTAGTTCTGCTGATCAGTTTGTGTGTATTTGTGCCAATACCGCCTTGACTTAACCACGCCATTTTTAGATCTTGTTATCTACTACGGCAAGTCCCTCCCACCCCCAAGTTTCTTCTTTTCAGCAATGTCTTGATTATTGTAGGACCTTTGCTGATACACATTTTACCCCCCAAATGGGGTCATAATGTTAGTACTAGTTTATAACTTGCTTTAAAAAAACTTAATAATAAGCCCAGCTGATGTGGCTCTGTGGTTGAGCGTTGACCCACGCACCGCGAGGTCACCGGTTCGATTCCCGGTTGTGGGCCTGATCCTCAGTGAGGGGCATGCAGAAGGTGGCCAGTCGATGTTCTCTCTCATTGATGTTTCTATCTCTCTCTCCCTCTCTCTCTTTAAAATCAATAAAGAAAAAAAATTAAAAGAAAACTTAATAATAATAATACTACATTGTGGCTATTTTGTCATTACATAAAACTTGTCATTTACATATTATAGTAAAATATAATTTTTCTTTTTATCCTCACCTGAGGATATTTTTCCATTATTTGTTCAGATAAAGTGGGAGGGAGGAAGAGAGAGAAACATTGACTTGAAAGGGGCACATCGAGTGGCTGCCTACTGCACGACCCAACCACAAACTGCAACTGAGGTACATGCCCTTAGCGGGAACCAAACCCGGGTCTCTCTGGATTGCAGGCTGATGCTCTAACCACTGAGCAAACTGGCCAGGGTGTAAAATATAATTTTTAATGGCTGCATGATGTTATTGTTTAGATGTATCATGCTTTATTCCATTCCTCATTTTTGGGTAGTTAAGTTGTTGCCAAATTTTCATTATTATAACCAATTCTGTGGTGAATGTTGTAGCAAAATCTTTGAACACATCCATGACTATTTCTTTCCTGTGGATTTCTGAGTCTAAGGATTTGCTCAATTTTAATATGAATTGATATATTATTCTTTAGAAAGTTCATATAAATTGTGTGAAAGTGTAGGTCCTTATTAACAATGAACACTATAATTTAAAAAACGTTTCGCCCAGCCCTGGCCAGTTTGGCTCAGCGGTTAGAGCGTCAGCCTGAGGTCCAGAGAGACCAGGGTTTGGTTCCCGCTAAAGGCGTGTACCTCGGTTGCAGTTTGTCCCTGGTCCTGGTTGGTTGTGTAGGTGGCAGCCACTCGATGTGTTCCTTTCATGTTGATGTTTCTCTCTCTCTCCCTCTCCCTCCCACTCTATCTGAACAAAAAATGGAAAAGTGTCCTCAGGTGAGGATAAAAAAATAAATTAATTAAATAAAAAATAAAAAACGTTTCACCCAGCCAGTGTGGCTCAGGGATTAAGCATCGACCCATGCATCAAGAGGTCATTGGTTCAGTTCCTGGTCAGGACACATGCCCAGGTTATAGGCCAAATCCCCAGTGGGGAGCATGCAGGAGGTGGCCAATTGATGTTCTCTCTCACTGATGTTTCTATCTCTCTCTCCCTCTCTCTTCTTCTCTCTCTAAAATCAATAAAGAAAAAAAAATTTTTAAGTTTCAATTCGATAGGCAAATAATTTAAAACCAAGTTAAATTTAGATTACGTATCTACTTTAGATGAACGTATTTTATGTTCATATTTTTCTAGTGAATGCCATGGGGTTGTGTATATGGACCCTGATCACAACTCTTCTACCAGATGGTACAAAGTCCTTCCTAGACCCCTCCACATGGACTCGATTTCTTTCTTCTTTTGTTTCATCAGAGGAATTGAGCCCTGTCCCCAGGACTATAATGAATCAGACTGCCACTGCGGGGGAGTTTATTTTGCTGGGATTTCCCCTCAGCAGGCAGGTGGAGTTGTTGTTTTTGGTGGTGCTGCTGCCCATGTTCCTGCTGACCCTGCTGGGGAACCTGCTGATCATCTCTATTGTGCTGTCCGACTCCCACCTCCACACCCCCATGAACTTCTTCCCGTGCAAACTCTCTATCCTGGACATCCTCTTCACCTCAGTCATTTGTCCAAAAGTGTTGGCCAATTTAGCATCTGGGAATAAAACCACATCTCCTTTGCTGGGTGTATCACCCAGTGCTATTTCTACTTCTTCCTGAGCACAGTAGAGTTTCTTCTGCAGACAGTCATGTCGTATGGTCGCTATGCTGCTGTCTGTTACCCACTGCAGTACAGCATCATCATGAGACCTTCTGTCTGCATTGGGACCATTGTGTTCTCTTGGGTGGGAGGCATCCTATCTGTGCTCTTCCCAACCATCCTCATCTCCCAGCTGCCCTTCTGTGGTTCCAACATTATTAATCACTTCTTCTGTGACAGTGGCCTGTGCAGACACCACTGCCATTGAGCTGATGGAGTTTATGCTTTCATCCACCATCATTCTCTGCTGCATAGTCCTTGTGGCCTATTCCTATAGGTACATCATCTTGACAATAGTGCACATTCCTTCCTCAGGTAGAAGGAAGAAGGCCTTTAACACCTGTGCTTCCCACCTGACAATAGTCGTGATTTCTAGTGGCATCACAGTGTTTATCTATGTGACACCCTCCCAGAAAGGATATTTGGAGGTCAACAAGGTTCCTTCAGTCCTTCAGTACTGAGCAGTGTTATGCCTCAACCCCTTTATATATACTCTGAGGAATGACACAGTGTTGGGGGTCCTCAAGGATGTCAGGGTCAGGGTTCAAGCAGTTTTAGAAAAGGCACATACCAAAATAAATACATACATACATACATACATACATACATACATACATAAAATAAATAAATAGAAAAGGGGATGATGACAATGTTGAGGAGCAAATTGTTCTCTTACAAAGACCAGTAAGGAGGATCTAGTCCCTCTACCTCTTCACCACCGTGTATGTAGTGTACAAATTCCCAGTGGTAGAAAAAGAGGACTTGCCTTAGCAAAGGGATGAGCTAGCTAAGAGATCCTGATGGATTATAGTGGAAAGAAGACTGAGCATGGAGACAGGGACTTGAACTCTGACCTTGGCTCTAACTTGAACTCTGTGACCAGAGCTGTGTCACTCTGTCACCAGCTACTCTGACCCTCAGTGCTCCCATTTGAAGTGTGTCTGGACTGGACCTGATGATCTCTAAGTCCCATCCACACTGAACATTCTAAGAATTACGGGAGAGCCTTGCAGCCCATGTCCTCACTCGAGGACATTTTTCCTTTTTTTTTTTTTTTATTCAGATAGAGCAGGAGGGAGAGAGAGAGAGAGAGAAACATCAATGTGAAAGGGACACATCGAGTGGTTGCCACCCACAGGACCCAACCAGGGCTGGGGACAAACTGCAACCGAGGTACATGCCCTTAGCGGGAACTGAACCCAGGCGTCTCCAGACCACAGGTTGTTGCTCTAACCGCTGAGCCAAACCAGCCAGGGCTGCAGCCCATGTCCTATTCAAAGTCCCAATATCTTTGGCCTTATTTCCTTATGGACCCTGATCACAACTCTTCTACCAGATGGTACAAAGTCCTTCCTAGACCCCTCCACATGGACTCGATTTCCTTCCATCTCCCCCAGGAATCTTTCTAGGGATAAACTTTATTGTTCTCCAGTCCACTGTCATATCCTGTAATCCATTGTTTTTCCTCAGTGGACATTTGTAATGATTGTAATGAATATATGTATAGTCTGTGTTATTTGATAATACTGCTTCCTATAATAGAACATATTTAAAATATCCAATATGGTCACATTCTTATATAAGACATGACCCTGTTCCTTCAGCCTCCAGTGATTGACTCATGAATGGATGATCTGAAGGCACAATCTATTGACTGACCAGTGATCTATCTACAACCTGCGTGGCTTGGCTGGGACAGATAAATTGTGCAAACAAATGTCTCTTTTTGAGAGTTTGAACCAAGAGATGCAGAGACTGTATCAGACAACGATGATGCTCCCCATGGAAGCTCAAGTAGGCTTGGTGCCTGGAGTAGGCTTATTTTGGGGGCTATGTACAAGCTGATGAGTAGTTAGAGGAAACCAATCTGCCCATTGAAGATAATGGAGTTGGTGTGGAGAGAAAAATAGAGAAGAGATAGATGAAAGCCCTCTCAGATGCAGAGACACAGAGTGAAGGACCCTCCTCTTTACTGACTTCCCAGGCCAAGGAGCTGGCTGAGTTTTATTTCCTGTTCCTGGGTTTGATGAGGTTGCCTGTACCCATAAATCAAACCCTCTTAAATTTTTTTTTCTTTATTTATTTTACAGAGAGAGAAAGTGAGAGGGAGAAAGAGATAGAAACATCGATGAGAGAGAACATTGATTGGCCACCTCCTGCATGCCCACCACGGGGCATGTGTCACAACCAGGAGTTGAACCAGCAACTTCCTGGTGCATGGGTCTATGCTCAACCACTGAGCCACACTAACTGGACAATCAAAACCCGTTTTAAAATAATATATATTTTTATTGATTCTAGAGAGAGAGAAGGGAGAGGGAGAGAGAGAAACATTGATTGGCTGCCTCCTGCATTGGGGATGAAGCCCACCACCCAGGTATGCGCCCCAACCAGGAATCAAACCAGTGACCTCTTGGTGTACGGGATGATGCTCAATCAACTGAGCCACATTGGCCAAGGCTCAAACCCCTTTTCATTGAGCCATTTTTGAGAAGGTCTTTGTGGGTACTCTCTTTCTCTCTGCACCAAGTATAGCCCTCCCCTTTTCTAGGTCCAAGAAACTAAAGATGTCTGTTTTGAACTTAACTCTTAGTCTAAATTCTTGGTGCCCAAACACTGCTTGGAATGCTTGACTAATACCACATAAGCCTATGGTTCCAGTCAGTGCAAGTCAAACTTTTCAGTGTCATCAGCAGCACTTTTTTTCCTGTCCCCTTTGGCCTCTAGTGCTGCAGCCTTCACTTGCCTGAATTAACACCTGTATCCCCATGGAACTGGGCTGAAGGGCATAGCATATCTAAGGAAACTCTGCAGAGTGCTGTGGCAATAAATAAGACCGACCAAATGAGAACAGAGGTTATTTATGCAGAGCTGGCTATGGCGAGGGAGTCAGCCATCACCATTTGGGTTTGGCAGAGACTCAAAGGTAGGCAAGGAGTGAAAGCATTATAGTAGAAGAAGAAGGTAAGGCTCAGATGTGTTCTAATTGGAGGGTTTGGCAAGGGGAAACTGGAGTGGACTAACTACAAGCCAGAAATCTTTTGTGATCAGTTTAAGGAGCATAAATAGCTTTTTCTGATTAGTCCTAAGTTGCAAAGAAGTGAGGAGTAAAAAAAAATAGGGAAGTTGTAAGTCCTACCCACGGCCTGGCGGTTCTGGGCTGACTGCTGCAGAGGTTGTAGCTTGGCTTCCCTGCCTGGTTGCTTCAGAGTTTGTAGGTCAGAGTTCTACAGTCATATATGATCTGGCTATTGTCTATTTTGTCTATTTGTGTATTCAGTGTATCAGTTCTTTTTTTTTTTTTTTTTTTGGTACGTGCCGCTAGCGGGAACTGAACCCAGGACTCTCTGGTCTGCAGGCCAAAGCTCCAACTGCTGAGCCAAACTGGACAGGGCAGTGTATCAGTTCTTTTTTTTTTTTTTTTAAATTTTTTTTATCCTCACTGAGGTCACTTTTCCATATTTTATTCAGATAAAGTGGGAGGGGAAGAGAGAGAGAAACATCGATGTGAAAGGGACACATTGAGTGGTTGCCACCCACATGACCCAACCAGGGCCAGGGACAGACTGCATCCGAGGTACACGCCCTTAGTGGGAACCGAACCCGGGTCTCTCTGGACCGTAGACCGATGCTCTAACCGCTGAGCCAAACTGGCCAGGGCATCAGTTCTTAACACATTGAAACTTCTTGAAACATTTTAAAGTTTAAGCAGAGTGAAAGTCCTCCCAAAGCCAACAACTGCTCCCATGAGTAACCGATGATGAAAGGTGAGCTCAGGTCAGCGGAGTTTAGTTGAGGGTTTTGCAGACCAGGAGTGAGAGCTGTAGAGACCTAGAGGCTCTTCCATGTACCAAAGACCCTGCTTCTTTGAGTGACCCAAGCTCTAAGATTTAGACTCTTTGGCTGGTAAGCCCTGCCCAGGCACACCCTGTCACAACACATCTGGCAAAGCAGTTGAGGCTCTGAGGCCCAGTCTTCCATGAGATTAAAGGGACAGCAGAATCTACAGTCAGATCAGTGGAGAGAAGGAAAGTAAGTCTCTGCCTCCCTGCAGGGCGCTGAGAAGGATTCAAACCAAGTGCTCCCTGGAGGTTCAGGGCCCCTCAGTTGCCCTTCTTTCCTGGCCTGAGAGAGTCTTTAAATCACTGACCAAAAGTTTCTGAGTTTAGATTTAAAAGCAGAAATAAATTTCCAAATTCCTACTGTGAATGTTTAGCCAAGCACGTCCATGTACTTTCTTTTTCTAAGCCTTTTCATCCTTTGTGGGACTGGTGTGCTCGTCTGTCTGTCTGTCTTCTCCAAGAGACAGCAACGGCCTTTGAGGGCAGAAGACTGAGTGTTTCTGGTTTCCCTACCCTGTGTCTCCCAGGAACCTACATCAGTGTTTCTCATGTTAAGTATGCTCCATAAATGTATACTAAATAAAATGAAAATGTGTTCAGTTTAGCAATAGTCCTTTTTTTTTTATCCTCACCCGAGGATATTTTTCCATTTTTTATTCAGATAGAGTGGGAAGGAGAGAGAGGAAGAGAGAGAGACATCGATGTGAAAGGGACACACCGAGTGGCCACCACCCACACAACCCAACCAGGGCCGGCCGGGGACAAACTGCAGCCAAGGTACATGCCCTTAGAGGGAACCAAACCCGGGTCTCTGTGGACTGCAGGCTGACGCTCTAACCGCTGAGCCAAACTGGCCAGGGCTAGCAATAGTCCTTTTTAAAAATTCAAATCTTATCCCAGCTGATGTGGCTCAGTGGTTGAGTGTCCACCCATGGACCAGGAGTCACCAGTTTGATTCCCATTTGGGGCACATGCCCAGGTTGCTGGCTCAATCCCCATTGAAGTGTGCAGGAGGCAGCCGATCGATATGTCTCTCTCATTGATGTTTCTATCTCTCTCTTCCTCTCCTTTCCTCTCTCTCTACAAATTAATAAAAACATATTTTAAAAAATAAGTAAAATTGCAGACTTTAGCTTGGACTGGATTGGGCCATTCACATTTCCTTTTTCTTTTTAAAAAATATACTTTTATTAATTTTAGAGAATGAGTAGGAGGGAAAGGTCAACAAGAAAGAGTTTTTCTTCTTGAAATTTGTACCTCAGCTGGTCTACACTTGCTTCCACTTTAACACTCATTCCATTTCCAAGACCAAATGGGAAGTAGCTTTTCCTCTCCCTCAGAAGACTGAGCCTTAAATACGGCCTGTCATATGGTCCTAGAAAGCCTGGGGGTTGGGGCAATAAAACAGATGGTCCTTATGACTTTGATTAAATTTCGCTTTTTTTTTTTCCTCAACCGAGGACATTTTTGCATTTATCTTCAGATAGAGCAGGAGAGAGAGAGAGAGAAACATCGACGTGAGAGAGACACGTCAACTGGCTGCCACCCACACAACCCCAACCGGGACAGGGGACAAACTGCAACTGAGGTACGTGCCCGGGACTCTCTGGTCCACAGGCCAACGCTCCAACTGCTGAGCCAAACCAGCCAGGGCAAATTTCGCTTTAAAATCTAGCTCTAGATATTATCTCTCTCTATCCCCTCAGAGACCTAGCCTTTCCCCCATAATCAGCAACCTCTGAGGCAACAGAAGACAGTAGCAGACCTGACTCATGATCACAAGGTCAGGACCTCTGGCAGGCTAAAGATAACATCTAGACCTCAGTTATGTTTTCATTTCCGATACCTAAGGTGGACCGACCCCCTGGCTACTTTCCCATGAGACTGGACTGGGGAACTCCGGAAAAGACCTTGGAACTGTCTTCAAGATCTGAAGAAGTGATTTGTTACTCCCACCTCACCTCTGACCAATCAGCTGTCAGCACGACCTGCAACCCCTAACCACAGGGTCTTGTGAGTTTGCCCTATGTAATCTGTAACCTATCACCTTTGGGTTTGTTCAGAGTACAAGCTCCTCTCGGTATTGACCAACTCAATATTAAACTATTTTTTCTTTCTATACTGCAAACTCCTGCTCGTGCATTTCTTTGGGCCATTGCCTGCAGGCAGGGGGATCCAAGGGAAAATATTGGGGTTCCAGTTACAATAACTGTGGGCCCCAGGCCAGGCTAGGCTGTGATGTGACTTTCTGTGTATCTGTGAACCTCGCAGAGGGGTTGTTTCAGGCTGCAGCTGGCAGAAGCCGAGGGGCTGGAGTGGAGGGGGGTGTTGCTCCCAGACCTCCAAACTTCTATGGCCGTCTGTTACTTGGCAGCTGTTGGGGAAATATAATAAAAAACCAAACCTCCTGCCAACCCCCAAAACCTCTCCACAAAGGTAGAAGAGACAGAAGACAATGTTACTACTGAATACACATTAAACCGGAATGGGACGAGCATCACAGGAAATCCTCTAAAAAGATCGCAGAGAAAGAAATCTCACTCTTTCATATAGCCAAGCAGATACACAAATTACACACATTTTGGTCAAGATTAAATAGCTAATCCTTAAGTAAGAGGACTTGACAGCACTATTTGTCGCACATTGTTCACTTGGTAATTGAGGTGACCATCTGTTTGCTACTTGGCTTTATCCAAGAAAAAATAAACTTCTTATATCTTTAGGATAGAAGGTAGCATGGAATCAAGGCATCCATTGAAGATAGGTTCCTACCCTCCCTCAGAGACTGGGAGACAGGGGTGCTATTTTCCTTGATGATTACACCTCAAAGAGGTGGTTCCCAGGTCCTTGAGAAAGACATCCTGGGTCACAAGGCTGGCCAGAGCCTTCTTTGGCTTTTTGAAAGATGTATATGCATTTCAAAGAGGGAGCTCACCATGAAACTGACATCATGACGTAAATCAAAATTAGGATCACTTTTGAATGGAGAGATTTTGTGTTTTCATTTTTAACATTTGATTATAAAAACACACATTATTGTTAAAATTTCAACCGGTACAGAAGACTAAGGTAAAACAGGAGAGCCCTCTCAGCTAATACTGCTCTCCAGCAGCAAACATTGTTATGCTTATAGAACATATACATGTTTATTCACACACGGAGCTTTTATTTTGCAAAAATGGGACAAAGTTGTAAGAGTTGTCTGTAATTGGTATTTAAAAAAATTTCCATGTCGCCCTGGCCGGTTTGGCGCAGTGGTTAGTGTTGGCCCACAGACCAATGAGTCACAGGTTCGATTCCGGTCAAGGACATGTACCTCGGTTGCTATTTGTACCCGGCCCCGGTTGGGGTCATGTGGGAGGCAGCCATTCAATGTGTCCCTTTCACATCGATGTTTCTCTCTCTCTCTCTCTCTTCCTATCTCTCCCTTCTACTCTATCTGAACAAAAATGGAAAAATGTCCTCGGGTGAGGATTAGAAAAAAATTTTTTTTCCCATGTCAATACCTATAAAATGACATCATTTATTTTAAAAATATTTTAAATCCTCACCAAGGCTGTTTTTATTGATTTGAGAGAGAGAGAAACATCATTGTGAGAATCAGGTTGCCTCCCATACTTGCCCCAACTGGGGATCAAACTCGAACCTTTTCGTGTACAGAACAATGCTCCAACTGAGTGACTCAGCCAGGGCTACGTAATTTTTTTTTTTTTTTTATCTTCACCTGAAGACATTTTTGCATTTATCCTCAGATAGAGCAGGAGGGAGAGAGGGAGGAAGAGAGAGAAAGAAAAACATCAGTGTGAGCGAAACACACATCGACTTATTGCCACCCACACGCATCCAATCAGGGCCGAGGACAAACCGCAACCGAGGTATGTGCCCTTAGCAGGAACCGAACCTGGGTTTCCCTGGTCCATGGGCTGACGCTCTAACCACTGAGCAAAACCTGCCAGGGTCATAATTTATTTTTAAATGTTACTTTTATAACCAATGGGCACTGACATTTCTAGTATTTTGTTAATGGTGCTAAAATTTATTAACATAAATTCCTATTATTAGGACTCATGGCTCATAGTATGTGTTCATTTTAAATTTCAGTAGATTAGTTTGGTAGATTCTGCCAAATTGTCAACAAAATATGCTAACAATTTCTTCTCCCACAAATACTGTATGAAATGTCCATCTTCTTCACCACTGGCATTACCAGATATTGTCCATCTTAATCTGTTTTTCATCAATCTGCATGTAAAGAATAGTTTCTCATTACTGTTTTGTATTTCCTCTGTTACTAGTGAGGTTGAGTATCTTTTCATATGTTCATTGGTCATCTGTATATCTTCTGTGAGTTGCTTATTCATATTTTTATGCTTGTGTACAAAGATAAAACATTCATTTTCCTGCTGGGCTGCTCTTTTCTTTTTTGATGGCTCGGTATAAACTATTTTCATTGCTTATCAAAATCTTTATTAATTTGCATACCTTTCAATCCTGCAATTTTACATTGAGGAAGGAAATCATTGGTTAAATGGGCAAAAATCCATGTCCAAGTTACTTAACACATTGTTTATAACATAAAAACATTCAGCCCTGGCTGGTTTGGCTCAGCAGTTAGAGCGTCGGCCTGCGGTCCTGAGAGACCCGGGTTCGGTTCCTGCTAAGGGCATGTACCTCGGTTGCAGTTTGTCCCCGGCCCTGGTCGGTTGTGCGGGTGGCAGCCACTCGATGTGTTCCTTTCACATCAATGTTTCTCTCTCTCTCTCTGTTCCTCTCTCTCCCTCCCGCTCTACCTGAACAAACAATGGAAAAATGTCCTCGGGTGAGGATTAAAAAAAAAACAAAAAAACAAACATTCAGAAGGTACTCTAAAATCTAACAATAAAAAATTGGGTCAATACATCATGGCAAATGTAAACAATGGAACACAATTAAGAGTAATGATATACTTCTCATATATTTACTGATGTAGAAAGAGGTTTATAGCAATAAAATTTTTAAAATTATAAAGCACTTTGTCAGTATGTTTTCATTCTGGTAAATATATATGTATATATAATAATGTATGTGTATAATGTGTTTGTGTGTGTGTGTGTGTGTATGTGTGTATATTCCCAGAATACATATATATGCAAAAATATTTAATGTAGTTATTTTGGGGTAGTGTAATTATGGATGATTTTTTAAAGTCCTTTATAAAAAATTTGTTTTTCTACAATGAAAATGTTTTGTTGATATATTTTTTAAAAAGGCAAACATCTTCTCAGAATTGAACCTCCTACAATCAGGGTCCAGTGAAATGCTGAGTCTCCTACCGCTGCAGGGAATGAGCCCTAACATTGCATTCACTTTTTTTGGCAGCTGTATCTTTTTCTGCTTCATACTGAGCTTTTAGTCCACTAAAACCTTCACATAGGAGGAACGTTTTCACATGACTGTCTTTGCTTTACTTGTTTGATTCATCTTTTAAAAAGTATGATTTTATTGATTTTAGAGAGAGAGGAAAGGGGAGGGAGAGAGAAATGGAAACATCCATCAGCTGCCTTCTGCACACACCCTGCTGGGGATTGAACCCAAAACCTGGGCATGTGCGCCAACAAGAAATTGAACTGGTGGCTGGAGATTCATTTTTTAGTTAAGAGACTTGACATTTGTATCTGTCCATTGTTTGATCTCATCAGAAGATAAGTGGTAGCTGTTTTCAGATTGATGAAACCTCTTTTCCCTCAGCAGTATCTTTTGGGATAAAACTATTGAAACTTCACATTTAAGAACTTGCTGTCCCTTTTGAGGCCCTTAGGTAATTTTCCTTGGAACATTTTGAAATCTGACTTCCTGAAATCTATAAAACTTATGTCTGGCAATCTTTCTTCCACATTGTAGTAAATAAAATTGTCAGTAGGGCAAGAAGTTACTGGGTTCTCTGCTTTCATGCATAAGAGTCGTGATGTTGGGACCTCTGGCACTATTGTATCCTGCCTGGGCTCAGTTTCCCAATCTGAATTTAAAAAGTAGCATCCGTGGCCTCCATGTCTCTTAACATCTATTTTGTACTCTTGCTAGGTTTCATTTTCCTGTTTGGTTCTTCTTTCATTTCCATCCACACGCTTCGGTCATCCTCTAGTCATGAGTTCCATCCACATCATCTGTCTTCTTGCGATAAAGTTCAAGTTCCTCCCCCATTCTGGTCTTCTATAATGCAGCACTTTTCCAGGCTTTAAGATTTTATTAGAATGACAAGGGAATCCCTGGCCAATGTGGCTCAATTGGTTTGGAGCTTCCTCCCCGTACACCAAAAGGTCCCTGGTTCGAGTCCTGTCCGGGTTTTGGGTTCCATCTCTGGTTTGGGCATATGCAAGAGAGAGCTGACAGATGAATCTCTCTCATGTGGATGTTTCTCTCTCCCTCTTCCTTCCTCTCTCTCTAAAATCAATTTTAAAAACGTTAAAAATATCTTTTTAAAAATTACAAGGGAAAATTCTCTGCAATTGTTATGATTGGCAACAAGAAGTAAACATTTCCTCTCAACCCCTAATCAATCTTAGAATATAAGCATCTTTTCAGAAAAGGACAATAGTTTAATCCTGAAAGGGTTAGAAAGAACACAATTTCAGAATTTAAAATATTGGAAAAATGTGATTCATTTAATCATCAACCAGAAACACTTGTCCATGGACCAGCTCTGGTGTATAGACTCGTGTAGGAAACCATTGCTACAGTACATGGTTTTGCAGTTTTACTTGAACACGTTTCTCTTTCCTTGAAAATTTTAGGAAGTACATGATGTCTGTTTTCTGTGTTAGTTATCTCACAATTTATCATAGGCCTGTAAATCTTCCGTCATAAGTCACAAGTCCTGTTCTCAGACATGATATTAGTTGTCACGGGTTGAGCCTCATGTTCTTTCTTTTCCAAAGTCAAATGTAGGAGAGGAAAACATCGCCTGTGACCCAAGTTCTTCAGAGGCTTCTTTGGTAACTAGCACGTCCCAGGTTTATTCTGGTTGTGGAATTGATTCTCATATGCATCAACTAAAATACGAGGTTGCTGAATTATAACAAACTCTACAGGACACACCCAAGGAAAGAGCACCTAACTATTAGCAAGGCCAGGTTGGCAGAGGGCTCTTCCCAGTCCTTGACAGGGTCATCAACCAGAGAATGGGGTCTTGTCTTCCTGGATTGGGGGGCGGGCTCTGTGCATCTGTTAGCATCAGTGAACCCCCTTAGTAGTCTGTCTAGGGATGTATTATTCTTGCAAAAGTGTTGGGCTGTGATTGTCTTTCCTCCTCAACCTTAGTGAAGGGTGATATTTAGTAGGATAAAGACAAAGACTTTTTAAAGGTAATAATGCTGAATTTATGCTATTAAAAACAATCAACATCAGCAAGTGAAGAGGTGGTTTGTCTTGAGCTATTTAACCTGGATGGATTTGGGACTGACCCTCAAAAATCTCAATTGTCTTGCTTGCTTCTGCAAAACACCAGGTCCCTGGGAGAGGGAAGACAGAGGGAGTCTAGAGAAAAAGCTGAGACCCCATGCAAGCAGGGCTTTGTATGATCTGAAAGGTCACATGCTGAGAAAAGAGATGTTTTGCACCATTCATTGGACATTGTGTTTGTTGTTAGTCAATGGGCTTATTTTCTATTTAGTCATTAACTGTACCTGCCATTGTGGGCTTACAGGGTGATATGTCAGAGTGGAGAGAGGTATTTGTCAGGATTTCATCACCCTGTGAACAATGACACCAGACTTCATTTTTAACACACACATTTTAGTGTCCATCCCAAGGAGGAAGTTAAATTTAGCACATTTTCTGCTATAGCCACTGAACAGCAGAAGACCTCCCTAGTCTTGGTTAGTTACAGCCTTTTATGTCTATCTGTGGGATCTCTCCATGTAAATTGCTAGTCCTCTGAGGAACCCAATTTTATAGCACAAAATGTAACCACAAATGCTTAGAATATACCAGGAAAGATGCCTATTGGGTGGTATGTTCATAGTGATTTCTTAGTCCCAGCCCTAGGAACGTTGGAATATCCCATTCAGATGGAGTGTGTGTGTGTGTGTGTGTGTGTGTGTGTGTCTGCACGTGCCTCAGCATGTATCCATGTGTGTAGGCCTGGTAGTGTAAATAGGGTACTCTGGGTGACCTTCTTCAGACCCTTCTTGAACTTGCTCCTGAGGAATGTGTTGGCATTGTGTCGGAAAAATCAAATCAGTCTTTTGTGTTACCTCCCAAAGGGGTTCTGGAGCAAGAAGATGAACTTTCAGAGTCATAGGCCCTACTTCCCCACACAGGGGCCTTCTAGGTCAGATTCAGAGACATGGGGTACCTCAGACCAGTGCCTGCAGTCAGGGGGCATCAGAATCTCTTAAGGAATGTGTCTAAACACAGGTGACATGGTCAGACTCCATTCAGATTTACTGAATCAAACTCTGGGGAATATAGCCCAGGACTCCATATTTTAAAAAAATATCCAGGTTGTTTTGTTGTGAGCAGGTTTGGAGACTACTGCCTCACTTGGCCTGTTCTCCAAGTATGTGGTAGCATTACTTAGTGTTGACAAGTTCTTTTGACTTTTCCTCCTAAACATTTGTTGCATTTTCTCCTCTATGTATCCACTGGACACTGGCCAAGTCCAAGCTACCAGCATCTCTGGCATGGACCAATGTAGTAGCCTCAAAGTTCCCCTGCAGGGACTCATCCCCCTCCAGTCTGTACTCCACAGAGAAGCCAGAGGGGTCATCAAATCTCAGATTGGATTGTCACACTCCCCACCCCACCCTGACACTCAGTCTAGTTATTTTTTCCCCCGTTGCTTTTAGGATGAACATAACGTTCTTCTCATGGCCAGAGGGCCTGCATGACCCACCTCCCCAGCTTCACCTCACAGCCGTTGTCCCTGCTAATAGACCTTTGCATTGGAAGTTCTCTCCAGATACTCCTTCCCCTCCCTTTGCACTTCCTGCAGGCTCAGCTGCTATTACTTCTGAGAAAAGGCCTTCCTAGCCCCTTTCATAGGCAACCCTTGTCAGTTGCAATTTTATATTGATTTACATAATGATTTGATGAGGGGTGCCTCTCCATGTAGAATGTAATTTCCCAGGAAGGCAGGGATCACTTTTCTTCACTATTGTAGCCTTAGTGCTTGGCATGCAGTAAACTAAATACAGGGTGGGGCAAAAGTAGGTTTACAGTTGTTTGCATGGAAAATAATACAATAATTAGTAAAAAAGAAAAAAAAATACAAGAATAAACTCTGTTTTGCATCCTCACAGCTGTTAACCTCCTTCTGCCTCACCTGTACCTGCTCTCTCCTCCATACGGCTGGTTGGCAGTCAGGCAATCTTCAGTCGGAGAAGGCACAGGGTCTTGGGATAGATCAGAGCTTTATAATTACACCGCCTGCCTTTGATACATTTGCTCATTCATTCATCACGACATCTGTGGTATTATGTGCCATTTTGAGCTGTGAAATTCTGGGCCTCGCTTGAGTCAGCCAGCACTCAGAGGGCACTGTTGGTAATGATTTGAACACTTGGCACATCTCACTTATCTTGGCTCAATGAAAACACTTATTGAATATGAAATACGTGCCAGACATGCTCCTTGTTCTTAGGTAGCCTGCTATCTAGGGAGGAAAGACAGACCTGAAACAAGTGAACACACATTCATATTTTACAAAAGGGGCAGCGAGTGTGCCAAGGAGACAGAGAAGAGGAGTCCAAGCCCAGCCTGGGGGATCAGAGATAGGCTTCCCTGAATAAGAACTATATGAGGGGATGAGTAGGAGTCAGGGAAACGGGCACAGTCCAGGTGCAGGTTCATGTGGAGCCAGCTTCAGAAGATGACTATTCACTGAGCAGCAGAGAGCACCCAGTTCTCCTGAGTAAGGGTTTGGCCCATCCACACTCCCCATCCATCTTCCGAGGAGGCTGGCTGAGATGGGTCCTGCCAACCTGGGTCTAGAGGGCCAAACAGGAGGGAAAAGTGTGTAAGTGAGTACCCCCAGCACCTCCTTCCCTGACTCAGGCATCACATGGACGGCTGTTTTCAGCACCACCTCCAGCTCCTGTACAAGCAATTAAAAAAATTTTTTTTTTTCCTTTACTGATTCTAGAGAGGGAGAGGGAGTGAGACATAGAAACACGGTGAAAAAGAACATCAAGCCCTGGCTGGTTTGGCTCAGCGGTTAGAGCGTCAGCCTGCGGACCAGCGAATCCCGGGTTCTGTTCCTGCTAAAGGCGTGTACCTTGGTTGCGGTTTGTCCCGGCCCCGGTTGCGGTTGTGTGGGTGGCAATCACTTGATGGGTCTCTCTCACATCGATGTCTATCTCTCTTCCTTCCTCTCTCCCTCCTGCTCTATCTGAAGATAAATGCAAAAATGTCCCCGGGTGAAGATTAAAAAAAAGAGAGAATATCATTTGGCTGCCTCCTGCACCCCGGGCCCACAACCTGGGCATGTGTCCCGACCAAGAACTGAACCGGCGCCCTCTTGGTGCATGGGTCGATGCTCAACCACTGAGCCACACTGGCAGGACTGTCCAAGCAATATTAAACATCACTACCCCCTGCATCTTTTACTCATTTCTTTATTAATGTAGAAAAGGAGCCCAAGGCCGCTGGACCAGTAGTACAAAGCACGGAGAGTTAATACTATTCTGGTGAAAGGGTTGGCTTTACAAAAGTGAAGCAGGCGGAAGCTGCCCTGGTTCTGGGGCTAGGCCCAGCCTACTGCCCAGAACCTCACAGGAGCACCTGGAACCAGCCCCTGGGAGAGGATGACAGGTAGGTTGAGTGGGATGAACTGGAGACCATGGAGGAGAGATGGCAGGGATGGAGGGCCAGGCAGTGAGAACCATCCTGTAGCTGATAAGGACAAGAAACTGCTGGCATGAGGCTCCCCACTGGACCATGGGCAGGGGCTCCAGGTGGCCTCAGCTCTGGGGACAGGAAGAAAAGTCTCGCCAGAGCATGAAACCAGACGCAGCCCTGGGTTGAAGGGCCTTTCTCTTCTCTCTCAAGCAGGGACCACCTTTGCTTTGTACTACAGGCAGGGCTTCAGGGCCCAAGGCACAGAGGAAGGCCCCGGGGCCTTCCTGTTGGGAGGGAGAGGGGCAGGGAAGGAAGCACTTGAGTGTTCCAGACTTAGGCAGCCAGGGCTGAGACACAGGTCAGGACAATAGCACCCCTACACAATGGGGCTGGAATGTGGGCAGGGCGGGGCTTACCCTAGGCCAATTACCCCATGGCTATGGTGCCTGCTGAGAACCTTCAAGAATGGAATCTGTGAGCACTGGGTGTCAGCAGACCCGCCTTCTAGCCTGAACTTTCCTGGAACAGAGCTCTGTCACCGCGGGCCAGCCTTGTCCTGCTCTGGCCTGTTCCTCATCTGCTGAGGAAGGCTTTGGATATGACCTCTCAGGTCATGGGAGGGACCCTGAAGGACAAGGGAACTCCAGAACCTGCTCCTGGTAGCTAAGTGGGAACTGGTCCCAACCAGACCCTGGATGCTGGCATGAGAGGGGCAAGGAGGTGACGGAGGGAAAAGATGTTCTTGTGTGGAACCCAACCCGAGAAATGTTCCAGAGCTGGGAGAGACCAGGGCAGCCCCTGCTTTGTCCAGGGGAGGAAGGCTGCCCTCCCTTTGGCAGGGAAGGAACGTAAGTCAGTGCGGGTCCTGCACAGCCACTACCTGGGTAACACTTGGCATGGAGAGAACAGGGTGGTACTAAGTGGCCCTTTATATTCTTCCCCGGGGTGGGGAGCTCAAGGCCTCTTTGTGGCTTCTGCCTCCAGCCCTTAGCATGGGGTCAGGAGTGCTCTTCAGTGTTCTTGCCTTGGGAACAGCCCAAGACTCTGGCTGGCTGGCACATGTTAGTTGGTGAGGAAAGGACAGAGGGGTGAGTAAGCAGACAGGGAGGCGAGAGCGACTCTCTGGCTTTCTCCACTTCCTCCAGCGAGAGCAGCTCAATCAACCGAGTCGCAGATCTCTTCCACCATGGCGTTGAAGATGTGTGGCTGGTCTGCGTAGACATGGTGTGAAGCGCCCTCGATCTCCTGTGGAGAACGGAACCCGCAGGAGTCAAGGACAGCCCTTTACTCCAGGCACCGGGGAGCTTCCACGACATTTTTCCTTTAGACCTGCTTGCCTATCAGCCATGAGCACTTGGTCGGCTTTTCTCCCCAGATCATGCCCTTTCCTGTGGGAGCCAGTGACCCAATATCCCATTCTCCTCCTCCCATGGCCATTCACTGTATCTTGCCTTCCATACTGGCCCCATCTGCTCACTTCACCCACAGGTCCGGTAAACCAGGGCCCACTAGGCAGCAGCCTAATGAAGCACACTCATTAGCAAACGAGGGAAAAAGAAAGGGAAGGCAGGGGTGTGGTGGGAAGGCTGCATGTCAGCCTCTACTATCGCTCTATTGTTCACAGCTTTGGCTTTGGGTGGGAATTTCAGGAGGGCTGGAATGGTACCATGATGTCTGTGCCTGGACAAGAACAGAAGTGAGAAGCCGCCAACCCTTTCAAGTCCACTGCCCCATCTCAATCTGTTCATCCTTCTTTTCCTCACTGACTCTTCCATCACCCTCCGCTGCTCCAAGTTGCTCATCCACGCCGGGAGTTAACCAACAAAGCAAAGCTTTCCACCTCAGCCCTGCTCCTTGCGTGGCCAACGTACCATGTCTCGGACATAGGAATCTGGCCGCTGCAGCTTCACTTTTTTCCCCGTGCTGGTGTCTATCCAGGTGTTGGCCCCATAGATCATGGTGATAGGCACATCTTTTCGAATTAAGTGAATTCGCTCTAACATGGGGCGTCGGGCCCAGCCGAAGGACTCCATCATGGCTTTGAAGGCCGTCTCACCACTAAGAAGCAAACAGGGGGAGGCAATTAGTACAATACACCCTGCAGCATAGAATGTCAACATGTTGGTCTCCAGAGTCTGAGGCAGTACCTTCATCATCTTGGTATTCACTCAAACTCTGGGTTTGAGACTCATTAAATATTGGTGCGATTAGGAGATAGGACCGAATCTCTAGAGGCCTCCTAACACGAAACAGTTAGAGGGACACGCTTGTGAAAGCCTGCAGGACACGGAGTATCCTCCACGAATGCAATGGCTTAATATTCACTCAACATGTATGTGTCATGCCCTAAGCTGAGTGCGGGGACATATGAACAAGACAGATGCTGTACCTGCCAATCTGGAGCTCACATTTCAGCTCACACCTTAGGCATTAAATAATGAATTATATGACTCATTAACTTCACATTTCCCAAGAACTGTGAAAGGTTGGTGGAGTGCTGAGACCATGGGCTAAGGACTCAGCCTGCTGGGGGTGGAGGGAGAGGGTCAAGGAGTTCACTTGGGGTGCAACCAGAGGAACGAGTACTGTGGCAGTACAAAGGGTTCCTGAGGAGGCTGAATAAAACATCAGTCTTGTGAAGACCTGGGGGGCAGCAGTTCGTGCTATGGGAGAAGCAATGACTGCCAATCAAATTTACTTTGCTCCCTGGTTACTTCCTTAGGTAGAGCTAATTGAGGCTGCATCATGACGGGTCCGCAAGGCTTTCTGGGCTGGTCTGTAGCTTTTTTAGGAGGCAGAAGAGGGTCAGGATACTGCTTTCTACCAGGCTCAGCCAGTCTCCTTTGTACCCCTGGTCTGAAGGGGAGCCTGAGATGAGAATGAAAATATGTACGAAGCCCCAAAGTGTAGGTGAAACAAAGTAGGGACTTCCCCCCACCCTCGATATTGTTTCTTGGCCAAATTTCACGTTTCCAAGGGAATGGTAAGAGTTACTTTGATCTTGTCAGGGTTACAACTTAGACACCCCCCAGGGGTTATAAAATTGAGTGATGGTATTTGGGGGAGGGGGCTGGTTATCATTATCACTGATGTCATCTCTGCTTCCTCTAGAACGAATGAGTCTATTATGTATTCTGTGGCTTAGATTGGGAGGCCATTCATTACACAGAACTAGGTCTGAGACTGGGGAATGTTCGGAGGAAAGGGCTAGGGTTGTGCGTGAGGGGCCTCAAGTGGGTATGAGACTGGCATTGAGCCCAGTGGGGGCTGAAAAAGGGGTAGAGCAGAAAGCAGGGGGCTACCTGATTTGACTGTTGAGTTAGCTGAGCTCATGAGGAATGTTGGATGGACAGTTCCCACGCTGCCTGAAAGCTATCTGGGTTTGAGGCTCATGCTCAGACAGTACTGCTGGGATGCAAATCCCCCTTCACAGCTTTGGTCACAACAGTGACCTGGACAGGCCTGGAATGAGGTGGGGCACTGTTGCTGCTCCCATGACCTTAGCTCCCCTGAGAAGCCTCCCAGCAGCTCAGGGTGAGGCCACCACAGAGGAGGTGCCACCAAAACAGCCTCCTGGTATCAGCTACTCACACAGCATGGCCTGAGGGAAAGATTAGCTCCCTGACTCTGCCCTGGCTGTCAGCTGCAAGGCTGCAGATCAGCAGGCTTGTGAGGCCTGCCATGTGAGTAGTTATAAACATAAACCTCTCAAGATTCTGGGGACATTCTGGAAATCTCCAAAAGATTTGGAAAGAATTCCTATCCCAACAATATTTCAAGATGCACATAACTGAATTTTGAAATGCACACTTTTTCTTTTTTTTTAAATCCTCACCCGAGGACATTTTTGCATTTATCTTCAGATAGAGTGGGAAGGAGAGGGAGGGAGGGAGAGAAACATTGATGTGAGAGAAACACATGGAGTGATTGCCACCCACACAACCCCAACCAGGGCCAGGGACAAACTTCAAACAAGGTACGTGCCCTTAGCGGGAACCAAACCCGGGTCTCTCTGGTCCGCAGGCTGACGAGCTCTAATCACTGAGCACAACCGGCCAGGGCAGAATGCATACTTTTTCAATCAGCAATTCTATTTGTAAGAATGTGCTTTATAGACACAGTCACGTGTGCAGAGGAAGACAGGCAAGGAGGTCTCTGAAGCTGTCACGTACTATTTAGGACTGGCAGTGACAAGGAAATTTGGGAATTACAGGTCTTAGAAAAAGATTTTTTTCACTTTGCCTTTATAAAAACACCATGTTCATATAATTTTTTTTCTGTTAAAAAAAAAGGCCCTGGCCAGTTTGGCTCAGCGGTTAGAGTGTCGGCCCGTGGACCAGAGAGACCTGCGTTTGGTTCCCACTAACGCACAGTTGCACTTTGTCCCTGGCCTGGTTGGGGGTCGTGTGGGTGGCAACCAGTCGATGTGTCTCTCTCACATCGATGTTGCTCTCTCTTTCTTCCTCCCTCTCTCCCTTCTGCTGTCTGGAGATAAATGCAAAAATGTCCTTTGATGAGGATTAAAAAAATAAAAGGTCTTTTCAAATATTTTCCAGACTCTTACCTGTCAGGATAACTGCCTATCTCCATGGAAGAATAAGGGTCACCTCTAGAAACAGTGGCAATTTTAATTCACCTGTTTCTTCTCCATCCTGGGGAAGTCTCTTGACAAGATCAAGCCTCTGTTCTCCTAACTCAGCGATTTTCAACTGGTATGTCGCAAGAATTTTTAAAACATATAATACCTGACTATTTAGTCAGGGGCCATGACCCCTTTTCCCTTAGACTGTCAAATTAAAAAATTACAATGGCCCACACAACAATAGCTGTCCAGTGTGCACGAATCAAAATTACACCCTTTTTTGTCATCAGATAGGTAAAAAATATTTTTTGGTGTACCACGGAATTTTAGTAATTAGTTTCTGTGTGCCACGGGATGAAGAAGGTTGAAAATTGCTGCCCAAACTGAACGAAAGTTTTGTGGAAGAAGAAATACAGCACAGATGATCCTGGGACACTTCTGCAGTTTTCATTTTATCGTTAAGCCCGTCTACCTGGAGCTGGCTCTGGGAGCTGCTCTCACCTGGGATTTTGCGCGTTGCAGTGGTAGATATACTCCGATATAGTATCGTCTTCAAAGAAGTCCGCAAACTTGCGCTTGAAGTCTGGTCGGAATCGCTGTACCAGGCCAGGCCCTGGGAGGGGATAGGAGACCATGGAGTGGCCAATTTGGGTGGTGGGGGAAAGACTCCTGCCTCTGCATGTTTTAACAACTTTCGCCAAACATTGTTTCTCCTATTCCTGAGACCCTCACGGCCTTTTAATCTTAAGGTAGTGAATGAAACTAGACCACTTCCCAAGAGCCCGCTCATGTTTAGTCCTGTAACATAATACAAGAGGCAAACTTAACCCTGGCATTCCAGACTCGGGGCAGAGTTTTAGAGCAATCTGTTCTCTTCACCTTCTTTATATAGTTCATGAACAAACAGGACAGCACCCAAAACAGACTGTAAAAATTGGGCCTCCTGGTCAACTCCTGACCTCTCTCTCTTCTGGTCTTCTCTTTGCATATAAGAAGCGAGAGGCCAGAGGGAGACACAGCCAGGGTGCCCTGGCCCTGGCCCTCCCCATGGCTGCCCGCCAGCTGCCACACCACATTAGCTCTTGTGGACCTGGCTAGATGCAAGTCCAAAAACAGGGAGAGTGGTGGATGCTGGCTTCCCCTAAACTTCTACCTTCTCCCCAAATGCTCATTTTTCTCTTTTATCCAGAGCAATGCTATTTCTCATGAAGGGAGAGACAACTCTTATTTAGCCATTAGCAATAACTCACAGTAAGTGGCTATTGAACATTAGTATGTATACATAGAGGGTCACCAACCTTTTCCATAAAGGGCATCTGCTTTCCACCCAGCAGAGTAAAATGCTTCCCAGAAAGTTAGGGTGTTGGTAGTCTGAGGTCAGAAGCCTAGAACCTACTGATTTCACTTCCTCTGGCTGACTCCCCCCACCCCGAACGCCTTCCCTCCCTTTAGCCACAGAATTTGCTGACAGCTACTAAATGGTGACGATGTGGTGTCTGACTGCAGCAGGGCACGGTTTCAAGGGGCTTGCCTGACACTGTGGGTTGTGTGGAGGCTCTGGTTCTGACATCTCCCTGCTGCAGGTGCTGGGTGACTGCAGAGGTGGGAGCCAGGGTGGTTACCACGCTGAATCGCCAACAGGTTGCCATAAACTCACACATGTAGTATAAGAATTCAGCAGAGGAAGAGTCACCTCATGGCCCCTTGTTCCCTCTCTCTGGGGGTCTAACCAAGGCACAGAGTAGTAGTTCTGCTCCATCTGTCCCTGGTAAGGAAAGCTTTTTCTATGCAGATGAAGGGAGAAAAAAAAAGAACCTTCTGAAACTGCAGACAAAGAGATCTAGTCCAGATTAATAGCTTTAAATAACAATGCTAGGCCCATTCCCACTTTTCAAGAACAAGTGGGGATTATGGGAGACCAGAAGCAGTAGGGCTTCTAGAATGCCACAGCTTTGGTTTAAGATAGTTTCTTTATCTGTAGGCTACTCACCCCAGGGCCCAGCTATTCGAAGAACAGCCAGTGGATTGGAACGCCCTAGGACAGAGGCCACAGCCTTGAACCAGGTTGGGGGTGCACGGATCTCACTGGGGTCTGTAGGCCGGAGGGGAAAGCCCCATGGGTCCACCAGGATGAGGTGCTTAACTCTACAGGAGGACAAAGGAGAAGTTGTATTTGCTTGGAGGTACCATAGCCCTTAAATTACCCAGGAAGAAGAGAACTAATGGCAACTAATACTGGAAGGTTCCCTACTGGGTTATGACCTAGAGGGAGGCTCCTCCTTACCTTTCAGGATACTTGATAGAGTAAGAAGTGGCCAGGAATCCTCCCAAACTGTGCCCCAGGAGGATCATACTGGGGATCCCCATGGTCTCTCGCCATGTCTCTATTGAGGTCACAAACTCATTCTCAGCCCCTTCTGGGTCCCTCGGGAATGTCGGCCTGGAGCTCCGCCCAAAGCCAAGCAGATCGAAAGTGTGCAGTGTGCGGCGGGCACTCAGTGAATCCATGTTGAGGATCCAGAGGCCCACGCCACCCCCGAAACCATGCACCATCACCAAGGGGGTGCGGTCCCTGAGCTCAGGGCTCACGGTCACTGTCCAGATCTTGTTCTGGTTTGGGAGAGACACATACCGAGCCAGGAACTTGTTCTGGAGACCTGGGGAGAGGGGATTCAGGGCAGAGCAGTAAGTCTATTTTTTTACAGCATCATCATTTTGTCTGGGCGACCACTCTTCATCTCTGTCCCTCCATTCCTAAACCCCTCCTGACCTCCCTCACCTCTTCCCTTTTATAACCCTTTCACCATACACCCTAAGAGTTCAACTCTGAGAACAATGTGTAGATCATCTAGTCTCTAGATAATAAGAATAGCCATCTTACTCCTCGAGGCTGTTTGCCTGGCTCCCTTTGGGCCAGGTGGCAGTGACCCCCACAGACCTCACAGAGCTCTTGCATCCACTGCTCTTGTACCTGTGTGCTTGGGCTTGACAGATGGACAGAAGTGTCCACACTGAGGGTATCTGGGAGGGCAGCTTCTAACTGGAGCTGAGCCAGGTGGAGGGGGTGATGGGTGTGAACTGAGCCATGGGCTTAATCCTCTTAGAGACAGTGGACAGTGTTCACTCTGCTGGTGGGAAGGCAATTACAAGACAGAGCTGCCTGGGGGAAGTCACTTGGATCTTGGACAAAAACTTGAAAGCTGTGGCTATTCTTCAGCTGCACTTACTCAGGCCCATAAGAGAGGGTAGCCATGGCTGGGGAAGTAGTACAGGGTGGGTAAGATCATAGCTCATATGGAGAGATGTGGCCCAAGGGCCTTGTTTGAGCCAGTGGCTGCTGATGTTTATGGGATGCCCTGGCCTAGTATAACACTGCCCATGAAAGCTGGTCTGCAGGGATCCCAAACTCCTGTCTCAAACCGGAGAAGTGGTAGAGAAATAGTAATATTAGAGAATATGGGACTGTTTGCTGGTCCTTGGGTAGCAAGGTGGTAAATCTAAGAAATGCCTATGTGTTTGGAAGAACAGACAGGGAGAGAAGAAGGGAGGAGTAGGAGAAGGAAGAAGGGAAGGAGAGAATATGTGTATTTGTGTTTGTTGTGTGCTAAAAGCTGGTGTAGGGTGGGAGGTGAAGTGGGATGTGGCAGAAGCTGGCATAATGGACAGGGAGGGAGACATTAAGGAACCATTATCATAGAATATGGTGTCCTTTGTACAGATCTCTTCCCTGAGATCACTGACCTTTCCTCTTACCCCCTAGCATTGTTAATCAGGAGCCAGTGGGCTCAGTGTACCAGGCTCTGGGAAGACCCTGTATCCTCCTTAGGCCTCCTGAGGGCGGTGGCACAAGCTGTCCCTGCTACTTACACTGGAGGATCCTGGCTTCCACATTCTTCAATTGAGACATCGAAGTGGGGCGCCAAGCCGGCAGCCAGCTACTCAGCCAGCCTTGAGGCCTGAGACAAAGAGACACAGAGATGCTCGTTGGCAACATTGGAAAGGAAACATTGATGCCCTCAGCCTTGCTGACAGTTACAAAAGAGTTATCAGGGCACAGGGTGTTTTCCAGGCTCAGGAGACCTCCCACTATGGCAGTCAGCAATTCCCTCAGGGCCTGATAGACTGTTACTCTTCTCTGGTAAATGGCTATTAACAACATGCCCTTTGTTTCAAAGATACTCAGAATGCCATGTGCACGGCGCTTTATAGTTTATAGAGCACTTTCACATTTATCTCATTTGAGCTTTATAATCTCCTTTGTCACTGGTCTTCATAATGTTTCGGGAGACTATAAGGGGGAAGACAACTTTTAACTAATGTTTCAGCTATCTTTTGCTATGCCCGGGACTGAATGTTCCTTTAGAGTAGGACAAATTCCCATGCCACCTGCCCTCCTGGCAGGGCACTGCGGTTTGTGTGTGCCCTCTCCCAAGCCCCTGGAAGTACAGTTGGGCTCGCAGGCAATCCTTGAGCAACAAGATGGGATAGGCAGGGAGCAGGAGGTGGGAGACCTGGGTTCAAGTCTCGCTGTGAATCACTACTGATTGAACACAGGTTGCCTCTGGCCTTGTTTTCCAGATTATAAAATGAGTGGAAATCTCACACAATCTCTACCTCCCATACCAGGCAATGAAACAGATAAGATATCTGTTCTGCTTTCTCCTTCACACCCACAGGACTGTAAGTCATTGCAGAGTAAAAGTTGAAAGCACCAGTTGTTGGGGAAAAAAAAAATCCCTCGATCTGAGTCACAGTATTATCATTTACAAAGAGAATGGCTTTGGCCTGATAAACAACCTGTCTTTGAGTGTTTAGATATGTAGGGGAGCTTAAAAGGTGCCTGGGACAAATTAAATGCTCAGTGAATGCGTTTTTATTATTCCTTTTCCTTCCCATATGATATTTCTCTTTTCCTGAACCACCTGGGTGAAGAGTATGATAGGATGGACACCACTGGCTATAGGAAGGGCCTGGGAACATCAGCACAGTCACACAGGGACATTCTATGGGAGAACCGACTGAGATGGTTCCTTAGAAATCATCTAGCCCTGCCTCTTTATTTTCAGGAGAGCAAACCAATGCCCAAAGAGGTCATACAGCTAGTTAGGAACAGAAGCAGAACAAGAAAACCCAGATTTCAAATCCAGGTTTCTCTGTACTTCTTCTCTGGAAGTTCCAACCTTGGCTTTTCAAGGCCATACATGAATACTTATAGTACAGAACATAATTTTCACACTGGTCTGTTTTTCTGAAAAGAGGTGTGATCTAAAGCCAGAAGGCCAGAATTCTAATCCTGGCACTGCCACTTACCAGCAGTGTGACTTTGGCCTTTCTATGCCAAAGTGGACTCACCTTTAAAAGGGAGGTAACAATAGTATCTACCTCATAGTGTTATTATAAAGATTAAATGAGTTAATGCACCTAAAATACATAGAATAATGCCTAGCACAAGATAAACTCTCAGTAAACATTTTGCAAGTAGCAAGTCATAATGACTGAGGTTTGAAAGAAATACTGATGTTGCAGCTGAGAGTGGTACATCAATGACATTATAGTTAGATGAGAGTTGTCAGCCTCATCAATAAACTCCTATGGAGGTTCAGAACCCTTTTAATTCTCCACTGGAATGCCTTGTAAGCTTGAAATATGAGCATCAAGACCACAGAATTTTGCCATTCTTACGAGAGAAACTTTCTCTCCACATCATAGAGACTGTGACAAGTCAGATCGTGGCATTGGGATCCCACATTGCGGCACTCAGGAGAAATGTTCTATGGAACAGCACTATGGACTGCTCAGCAGATATTTGGGGTAGCTTTACTTTCCCTCTCTTCTTCACCAAAAATTTTACAGGTACTGCACTGGAAATAGTGCCTGGTACACTGTATCTGCTCAATACAACTGGGGAGATGAGGGGTGGGGGTAGGGGGATTTAGGCAAAGAGCAGAGAAACCACTTAGCCATGAACTTAGCCTGGCAAGGGCGGTCTCTTCCCTCTAGAGCATTTTTATCCTGATGTGAGTAAGCCAGAAGGGGTTCTGTGCTGGGTCAGATGCCCATTCTGGACCTCTGTGGTCTTGGGCAAATCTCCTAACTTCTATGGGCATTGGCTTCTTCATTTGTAAAAAGAGGTGAACTACCTGCATCTCAACCAGCTCTAATATGGTTTCCCTAAGTCACTGTAGCTATTATACATTTCCTAGTGGAAAAGTTAGCTTAGAAGGTAACACTCTCCTGGGCAGTTTCTTCAAGCACAGGAAGCTATTATTGCCATAAAGTTAATTCGTTTTGCAAACTCCCAGTTATGTTGCTCTGAAAAGGGGGAACATGGGACCCACAAAAAGCCCCGTTCTGGTGGAAACCAAGGCTTGGCTGAGAGCTGAGTCATTCTTCAGGAAGCAACTTTGCCTGGCTCCTACCACACTGCAAATGGCTAGCCACACCATCTACAGGTGGCGCCCCAAGCTGATACCCTTGAGACAGTGGTAACAAGTCCCAAAAGCTTGAAATTTGAGACCACAGCGTAAAAGACATTGTCATGATGATTAAAAACATTATCAACTAGGATCACAAGCTGCAAAGTGTCTCGGCGGGTAAGAGCTAAAGAAACCTCGCAAGCCCATTCATTATTCTAATTAGACCAATTTCGGCGGTGGAGGCCTCTCTCCTCTTCCCGTGCCCTCTCCAGGCCCGGGAAAGGAGGCTCTTCCCACCCCCTACCTCCATCCCGGGGCAAACCCAGATGAACAGACCTGGCTTCTACCCCTGCCACCGCGTCCCACCAGCGTGCTTCGGCGGATCTCTGACATTCCCACCGAATCTAATCCCGGAGCACAACGGGTAGATGACAACGAGGAGCCATCACGAAGACTAACGTGGAAAGTTCGAATCACTGAGCTGCAGGCAAACTTAAGTCCCATCGCTCCCCCTGCTCTGCCGCCGCCTCTTCTTGAGCAAAAGCAAAGCAAGCAAACGCAGCCCCCAGCCCCCCTTGAGGCCGACCTGAAACAGGAAAGGCAGGAAGGTGTCTAAAAGTGTTCCTCAGCCACAGACAGTCCCAGGATCATGGCCCAGAGAGAGACAGAGAAAGAAAAAGAGACAGGATTAACTCACTGCTGCTCCAGATCATCGGCCATAGTAAACAAGCCCTGCCGGGTTGAGCCGAGCCAGCCCATCCCTCCGCCTGACGCCAGCACCAGCTGACCCAGAAGAGGGTCGGATAACAAAGTGGGGCGTGGCCAGCGAAGTCGGCGGGGAGCCCCCCCTTCCCCCCCACACGCGGACTCTGGCCTTGAACCTGGGCGGGTTGGGGACACGAATACAGGCGGAGCAGTCTCGCGCTCTAGCAGAATAGGACGATAATTCTGTTTATTTGGGAGACAGTGAGGAAGATGAGTAGTACTGAAACAATCGAGTCCCTCATGGGAGCTCCACCAGCCCCCCAGTCTCTCATGATACAAATGTGACAGAACTACCCCTGCAGGCTCTCACATACTTTTTGGGCTTCCCTATTATACAACTCTCTCCCTTCTGAAGTCTTCCCCTGGTGGTCTTTCTAATCAGATGCTTATGAATGATGTTTGTGGAGACCACACCACTGGTTAAATGCTCCAGCGAAGGGCCTGTACCCCAAGTAGATTGCTAGGTTTCCTAAATAAGCAGGATGCCTAAAGCTGAATTTCAGACAAACAACAAATACTTTTATAAAATATGTCCCATGTAATATTTGGGACACAACTGGGCATCCCGTATTTTATCTGGCAACCCTAAACCTAAGCGACATATGTCAAGATACAATTCCTTTGCTCTGGAGATTTCCCAACCTAGTTTCCAGGAAGATGTGGCTCAATTTCAGGTCTTCCACAGTTTGGAAGATTCGCTGGCTCCCCACCCTTCCCCTCAGGAGGGGAAGTTGAACTAACAAGTCTGGGTCTGCTTTAGGTAGCTGGAATAGGGTGTGAGGGTTTGGAGGATAGAGCGACTGGCTTCGGTCAGAGGTTCTGAGTGTACTTCAGACTTGCTCTGCAGAGGAGACACATCGGGAGGCTCTACACCTTACCTGAACTGGTAAACAGGGCCTGGTTTTAGGTCATCGCTTGATTAGGTTAAAACTAGACTTGGGGGTGCTGGACGGTGCGTGGGAGAATGCTAATCTGAGGGGTTTGTCAAGTTTTTTTCTTTAGCCATCCTGTAGGACTCAGGAAATTAAGATTTCTTCTTTCTTGTAACAGTGTTAAAATGGTCTGATTATCATTGCAAGGGTTTAAATGTTAAGAGAACGGACATTTATAGAATTTAGGGACCTAGAAATTTGTAACAAGTGGGCAAAGTAGTACAAATAGCAGAGAACCTGTCTCATTCATTCATCTCTTCAACAAAGCAGAGTAGGCCTAAACTTCACTGTGCCCAAGAATCATCTGGAGGGCTTGTCAAAAATTCAGGGTTCCTACCCCCTGAGATTCTAATTCAGTTGGTTTGGCTTGATGCTAAAAAGCTACATTTTTAGGAAGCATTTCAGATGCTGGAGTTCAATGAGACACATTGGTTAATTATTAGTTTCTGGACTCGGAAGCCTAGGTTAAGGTCAATCTTTGTTTTGCCTCTTATCCACTGCATGCCCTTGGTTAAGTTACTTAATCATCTCTTAATTTTCTTCCTCTCTTGTGTATTGTTGTAAGGATTAACCAAGATAATTCAAATAAAAATTTAGAACATTTATTCATTCTAAAATGTTGCTTATTGTATTATTGTTGTTGTTTTGTTATCATTATATACATAACCTATTTAAAGCCAGGCATTATGTTAGGCACCAAGAATACCATTATCAAAAGGAAAAAAAATAGCCCTGGCTGGTGTGGCTAAGTTGGTTGGAGCACTGTCCTGTACACCAAAAGGTGGTGGGTTCAATTCCCAATCAGGGCACATACCTAGGTTACGGGTTTGATTCCCAGTGGGGATGCATGCAGGAAGCAACCAATAGATGATGTTTCTCTCTCTGTCTCTCTCCCCCTCCCTTCCTCTCTCTAAGATCAATTATTTAAAAAAGCTACTTTTTATTATGGTTTTTTTTTTTTAATCCTCACCTAAGGATATTTTTCTATTTATCTTCAGATAGAGTGGGAAGGAAGAAGGGAGGAAGAGAGAGAGAGACACATCGATTGGTTGCCACCCACATGACCCCAACCGGGACCAGGGACAAACAACTGAGGTTCATGCCCTTGGCTAGAACTGAACCTGGGACTCTTTGGTCCGTGGGCTGATGCTCTAACCACTGAGCAAACTGGCCAGTGCTATTTTTTTTTTTTTTTTTTTAAGGAAAAAATAGCCTTCTCTAGTGGTGAACGTAGACTTTCTATCTGCTGCCATCCTAGGTTGTCTGTCCCTTTGCAGAACTGGCAACTTTGTATTCAGAGCTCAGCTCAAAACTCCCCTCTTCTGAGGCCTTTCCTGACCACAGAGTATAAAAGAGACCTTGAGTCTACTCAGTCACATTATTTTCCTCATAACACATATCACTATCTGAAATTATCATGCATATTTGTTTACTCATTTGTTATCAGTGTCCCTCCAGCAGAGCCTAAGGTTCACAGAGGACCTGTCTGTCTTGTCCTCTCCTGTGCTGCCAGCGCCTAGAACAGGATGTGGCACAGAGTAGACAATCAGTACTTACTGGATAAATAAATGGACAAAAAGTCCAGCCAGGAGGCAGATACGTAAACAATTACCTATAAAACAATGTACTAAGTGTCAAAGACTTTGGGCACTGTATTCTAAATTGTACCACAAAGAAAATTCCAGGCTACATCACTTTGAGACAGGGCAACAAAATCTCCTACTTTTCTGAAAATCTGTAGGATGTAGAACTTTTTTTTATTAATTTATTTTTGTTACAGATGTTTCTCCTTTTTTTCCTCATTGACACCCTCCTCCCCATCCCTGCCACCCCATACCTGGCTTTGTTGTCCGTGTCCATTGGTTATGGATGTAGAACTTTTTGAGCCAAGAATGACCTGGCTAGAACTCTCTAGACCTCTTCTCAGGAGGCAGTACAGAAAAGCCTTTGTATTTGGTTTCCATGTGCCAAACAAGCTTTACAGTAGAGGTTGCTTGAAAGTAGAAAACTTGAACATATGAAAAATGCCTTTTATAATCAAAGTTAATAGATCTCTTAAGATGGCCTCAGAGCTGAGCTATCTCAGGGCTCGGCTGGATTTGTCAGAGGGTGGAGAATACTCTCAGTGCTGCTCTGGGCAGGCCTCTTGGGAGAAATGTAAGGTACTTTTTTTCCTTATCTTCAAGACAAGATACACTATGTGCAAATATGAAAGAATACATCTTCCTTCTACCTCCAACATGTGTGATTAAAGTACTAATATAGTCTTTTTTTTTTTTTTTTTTTTTATCCTCACCCGAGGACATTTTTCCACTTTTTGTTCAGGCAGAGTGGGAGGGAGAGAGAGGAACAGAGAGAGAGAGAGAAACATCGATGTGAAAGGGACACATCGAGTGGCTGCCACCCGCACAACCAACCAGGGCTGGGGACAAACTGCAACCGAGGTACGTGCCCTTAGCGGGAACCGAACCCGGGTCTCTCAGGACCGCAGGCCGACGCTCTAACCACTGAGCCAAACCGGCCAGGGCACTAATATAGTCTTTATGAATAAAAAATAATATTGACAAACCCTCTTCCCTGTGCCTGTAAATTACACTAAATATTCCAGAGGTAGGTGGAGCTGATAATCCAATAGCTTAGGCTTCAGAGGGATGGATCATCTTTGGCTTCAAATGTTATCATTGCTTTTTGAGTGAACTATGATCAAAGTGTAGCCCTTGGATTAAACATAGGAACTAAGTAGAATAGCTCTATAGTTCCTTTGTCACCATGGCTGGTTTGGCTCAGTGGTTAGATCATCAGCCCAAGGACCACAGGGCCACGGGTTCAATTTCTGGTCAAGGGTTTGTACCTGGGTTGCAGCTTCAGTCCCCTAGCTCCAGTAGGCATTGTGTGGGAGGCAACCAATTGACGTCTCTCTCACACATCGATCTCTTTCTCTCTCTCTACTCCCCTTCCGCTCTACCTAAAAAAATCAATGGAAAAATATCCTCTGGTGAGGATTGACAACAACAAAAAAAGAGTTGCTCTGTCCAATATGGTAGCCACTAGCTACATGTGGCTACTTACATTTATTTTTTATTTTATTTTATTTTTAATTTTATTTTTGTTACAGATGTTTCTCCTTTTTTAACCCATTGACACCCTCCTCCCCATCCTCCCCACCCCGTTCCTGGCTTTCTTGTCCATGTCCATTGGTTATGTGGACATGCATATGAGTTCTGTGGTTTGTCTCTTCTCTCCCCCAACCACCCCTCTTTTGAGGGTTGTCAGTCTGTACCCTACTTCCATGTCTCTGGGTATACTCTGTTTCTCAGACTGTTATGTTCATTATATTCCACAAATAAGTGAGATCATGTGTTTTTGTTTTTTTTTGTTTTTTTTTTTTGGTACGTGCCCCTAGCGGGAACAGAACCTGGGACTCTCTGGTCCACAGGTCAACGTTCCAACCACTGAGCCAAACCGGCCAGGGCTGAGATCATGTGGTATTTGTCTTTTTCTGCTTAGCTTATTTCACTTAGGATAATACTTTCCAGGTCCCTCCATGTCATCTCAAAGGATAAGAGATCTTTCTTTCTTACAGCTGCATACTACTCCATTGTGCATATTGTACCACAGCTTTTTTTATCCATTCGTCTACTGATGAACACTTGGGCTGTTTCCAGATCTTACCTATTGTAAATAGTGCTGCTATGAACATGGGGGTACATATATTCTTCCTGATTGGTGTTTCGGGCTTCTTAGGGTATATTCCTAGGAGTGGGATCACTGGGTCAAATGGAAGTTCAATTTTTAATTTTTGAGGTAACACCATAGTGTTTTCCACAGTGGCTGCACCAGTCTGCATTTCCACCAGCAGTGTACTAGAGT